TCGTCTATCCTGTCTCTATTCCTAATACTTGTTTATATGACTTGCCATGCCCTAGTTGCTTGTGCGCCAAATTGTCTTAGGATTCCCAGAATGAATGGAGTTCTAATCAAATAATTACTAATAGCCTCGATACATTATCGAATAAGGCTCTTAATTGACGAGCTTCGTTTCAATGAAAAGTCTGGCATGGATCAGCAATAGGTGAGTATGGCTTCTCTTAACCTGGCGCAATGTATGATTCCAAGTAAAATTGTCTATCAAAAGTGGAAAGGACACTCAAAAGTTTGCCAGACAAAAAGATACGAGCTAGTGATAGGGTCCGTGCCTCACTTGAGACGCCTGCTCAAGTTGATTATAGGGTTTCGTGATGTCTGTGCGCCGGTAAAAATCAGGACAAGAACTTTGTCAGCCTGGGTCGCTTAGACTGATTAAAGGACAGATAATACAGTTTTCTACAGTGATAGGAGTGAACTTCATGTAGCCTTGCCTCCCAAATGAGACGTGCATATCATAAATGAATAAACTCCGAGTCGCTAAGCCACAGTGAGGGCTTGCAAACAGGAGTCAGGTGATATTAAGGCTACCTTGGGTCTGATGGGCAAAGGGCTAATATCTCAGGGAGAGGGGACTCAGAAGATGGTTCAACCAAATCTCCCAATAGATGATCTGGTGGAGAGGTGGGCATCAGGCAGAGGTCATGGCGTAGAAGCTTTAGACCAACCAGCCCTCAGCAAGAATGCTGATTTAATTTATGCTTAAGGTATGACGACCAAGATGGCGAGGCCAATATTTTGGCGCCGGTTCCCTTCCGCTGTATAGACGTGATTTGGCCCTGTTTTCACAACTTAGTCGTGCTGTCGGGTCGACCTCGATGAATGCATCTTCAGTAGAGCCCTCTGTGGTAGAAGGCAACATAGTCACCAGCCGGTCTGTCCAAAGCCTGCACCTGCCATCTTAAAGGAATCATTGAAGCTTCCAGGACTAAATTGATATAATTGCTCTGTCCGGAGCAAGATTTGTGATGAAAGACTGAAGCCATTTGGTCGTTGGCGCTGAGCCGAGATGTGATAAGACTAGTTGTTTTTCCGGAAATAGTTGAGCTTACATATCAGTTAACATGATACATCATAGATATGAAGACCAATATGGTATGGCCTTCTGTTTAGTCGCAATCTTCTTTAACTGGATTGACCAAGTTTTCGCAACTTTGTCACGACAACTGGGAGACCTTGTAGAACGTAGCTAGTCACGCAATCGCTTCTTCCTGATTTACCTCATAATCCTCTCCTTGGCGATGTCTCTTTCCGTTTTTTGCTGTACTTGCTGAATCTCCAAATCTGCCCAAGCATTATGCGAGATTATCCCTGAATATTCCCTTCTATAATCTACGGTTCATCCGGTTTCTTTGAAGGAGGATGTCCATAGGCTCCCTGGTCTTCCGCTTCCTGGTGTCTTCCTCATATGAGGTCAATCTTTCCGTTGCACTCCTGTCAATTGCGTGGCCGGTAAGGCCGATGCGATCAGATGTCTCCGATCTTTCCTTATCCATTTTGCTTCATAGCCGCTGGTATTCTTGTCCTAATTGCCCTTCCCCT